TGGCGACTCTGCCCAAGAAGACAGATGATGATGGGGGGGGGGGGGGGGGGGGGGGGGGGGGGGGGGGGGGGGGGGGGGGGGGGGGGGGGTTGCGTGAGGGCTGCGTTTCGACATGGCCAGAGTCGGGACTCTGGGGGTATTTAAAAAAAACCCAACATGGTAGCCGTTTAAAATAAAGGACATTATAGTCAGAGTCCATTCTGAATTTGGGTCCGTTAGTGATTATAGCCTGATCAACATCATTGGATATCAGAACATCCTCAAACAGATTGGAAGAAGCGCCTGAGATGTCCCGGTGTTATTTCTGTTATTCCAGAGCAGATTGCATTATGAATTAGCATTATTTAATTAGCAGTATTGCCAAAAATCACATACATTTACTATTCTTTAAACTTTGATTTGTAGCACTTATTAACTGTTAAGGAATAGAAACCGTCGATCTAGGCAGACTGTTGGTTGTCTAATTTTTATTGATGGCATCAATATACTTCATTAAACTGGAAGCTTGCTACATTTGCCCCTCCAAATGCTTTGCAGACAATGGAGTGCCAGTATGTCTCAGGAGTAAAACATTTTTAAAAAATTAAAGATTTAACGCCCAGTTCCTCTAGAACCTTCACAACAGATAACTGGAAACAAGCATGATCCAGAAGGAACATTATTATGTCAATCCGGTAACATACAAGCCCACAAACACACAGATATATTCTTACCAGACAGCACTGTGCCCTTTATATCACCTTTCTGAAGGTCACTGCCCTGTGGGTTCAAAGAGAGAAGGTTAGATTCTGGACTTGACAGAAAGGATACGCACTTAAATTTTAATATGTACAAATGATCTTATTAATGTTGAGACCATGACAAAATCTCCTAACCAACAAAATATTTAAAGTCTTTCAGAGAAGGCAGGCTATGATCCAGTGTAAAAAAAAATGCCAATCTAATTACATAAGAGCTAAATGACTACTTCAAGCAGAGATTAATACTGATTTGAGGTGAATTAAACATTTTCAATGGGCCCATTCCAACCTTAAGCCTGCTATTGGCATAAGGTCATCATGAATAGGGTGTTTAAATTGATAAAAAGTCGGTATATTCTCATTCAGTGATGTATGAAGGGGCAGTGTGTGTGTCTGTGTGACACCATGTCGCTGGAAAGTTTCTTTAATAGAAATGTTTATTTACAGCTATAAGGTCATGTGCCTGGGAGGAAAAAATAAGCATGAAATTAGTTGATTCATTCCGAAAGTGAACCAGCCCCCACTTGTGCGGTGAGGATGGAAGTCCCCAAGACCTTCACAGTATATCGGCAAACCTCTACACTAGGTCCAGTGAACTGTACTTGTACAGTACAGCCTCCCCCCACCCTCCCCACAGCCATCCATTCACCAGGCACAGGCTCCCCCATCAGGCATATCCAGGTACTGCAGCCACTTCTCGCTGGTCACAGAATAGAATCAGCATCCCCAGCTGGGCCGGATGACAAAGCCTGGAGAACCCCTTCCTAACAGTGATTCAAACGTGGCTCATGTTTTCTTTGTTCGTCTCTTAGATACAATGTGACTTAATCTCAACCCTAGAAATGCCTCCATTTCATTTATTTAGGCCAATAATACAGGTTCGGGGTTTATTTATATCGCTTTTCTTAGGTTAGCACAAGTTTCAGATTCTCAGTTCCTGTAACCTGACTATCTGGCCTGTGACATATCGCTCAGCTGTAGAACAAGCCCATTCATTCTTCCGTGGACCTTTCTAACTGTGTGTCCTGTTCTAAAAGTGACCATCAAAATGAGAACAATGTTCTCAAAAACGTTGTTCAGCTTTAGTATTAAAACCCTGGCTTTCACACATCTTTTGAAGAAAACTGAGGTGTAATTTTAAAATCCACGAGGAACCTGATACCTCCACCAGTTCACTCTGGAGCTCTGTAAGCCAACTGAATGTGTTATTATTCATCTGCATAACCATGCCCTTACTTGGGGCAAAGTAAGAACAATGTAATTAGGTTGCATGGTTGACATGCAAGAGCTGATTAAGTGATGTCACATGATGGATGAGTCAAAACTGTCCTTTTGACAAAAATGAACTTCGATTGAAAAAGTTCCTCCCAGGCCAAACTGATTTGCAAAATACATAGCACCCCCCTAAGGTCAATAGTTGAACTGCAAGCACTGGGAAAGAACCTCCACTTGTGACAAATAAGATCCCTCTGTCCCCTGCAGGAAGAACAAAGAAATACACTTGGCCAACAAGTGTACACCTTGGTCAAGAGCTTTGTTTTCACCTTTTCTCTTTTCTACCTGCTTTATCATCGCTTCTTAGCAGATGGAGGGCTTTTAAATAAAACATAAAAGAATAATCAATCAAGCACCAATCACTTTTTTTGATCCATGGTTTAACACCCTGCATTGTAAGAATGCATACAAAACAGTCAATTAAGGTGTCGACACGTCAAAGGTGTCAGGGTTTTAAAAAGCCATTTTTATTGCAATTGCCCGTGTTTTTGAATTTGAGAATTTCTTCTACTCATTTATTTATTAGGATAAATTTAACACGGCAATCCACATTTTGTTTTACATTTCACCAGTCACAAATGCTTCAGAGAGGAGGAAACAGGCTCGCGATTAAGATATAACACAAAGCAAGCACACGTCTCTGTTGCACCTTTCATATGTCATTAGAATAGAGAGGAGGAATGTGGAATCTTTAATGACAACAGATCAAAACTTTACGCAGGAAAAAAGGGAAAGTCCTGCCTACAGCCCTGATGTCTTCACAACCAGGATCTCACAAGAGGTGGCAGTTTATATAACACATCTCTGCGAGAGGATTCTCACAACAGCTTCCTCTTGAAAAAGGTGAGCACTGTGAAGAGGGTGAAAGGCTGGGAAGCATCTTTGATCAACTTTTACTCGCAAATGAAATCAGACTTTTGGAGTTTGAGAGAGGCGAGTCATCTGAGAAAACACTACAGCTGGTAAAACTAGAAAGTAATAGACATTGAAGTCTTTTTTTTTGGAAGTTGATGAATAATGGTAACCATCCTTGTAATTCTTGTTTGAAATATTTTTTAAATATATATAAATATAATAAATTCACGACTATGCTTCCCTAATTATTAGTCATTCTTTCTAATTGCATTGCTCAACTTGATAAGGCCACTGAAACAGTAACTTGTGCTTTTCACAAGGCACACCTAATTGGTCGGAATTTAACAGTCTGCTTATTTTTAACTTATTTCTTATGTCAGAAGCCAAGACGTGGCACTAATCATTACTCAGCATGCAGCTGGTGAAGAACATCCGGCACACAGTGACACTTTGAAAGCTAAAAAGGGGCTATTCCTCTACGTCAGCAGCCACAGACTCACTCATTCCATCACCATTTGCAAGAAAACCCAAATGGACAACACTGCAACTCCACACCGAAGGAAACCCAGATCTGAACCGAACGTCATTGTGCCAAATAATGGATCCACAAACATAAGATCTAAGGACCTGGGAGACAGCAGACAAGTAGTTGTGACTGCTACATAACTGTTTCACACAGGAACCTTTATATTTCAGATATTGATATAAAAATAACTGTAATCAAATTAATTGATAATTTACTATGGGTTCTATTTACCAAGCTTTTTATGACATGTCACAGGTGTATTAAGGACACCGATTCGGATTAACCTATTGTGTATAACTGCTGGACAGTCTGATCACCGCTCTGGACAGCACAGCCAAAATAGATCACGTTGTCTCATCCTATTGGTCTAGTACAGACTGGCATCATTCTTGGCACAATATGAAACATCCTGGATGAATGTGTAACTTTTTGAATACTGGTAAATCACAATGTAAACCAGTGTAGATAGGGGTTTCAACTGTAAAAATATAAATCAGCAGAAAACCCAGGATTTGCTCTGAAGACAGTATGAGTATGCTCTTAGTGTCATGACATGTTCTCCAACATTCAATACCCTGACACAATCTGACACATAAACCTGCTCTCTACTGATGACAGTTTTACAACTACAGAGTGTATCTGTCACTGGATAATTGCTGTTTTCTTCCCTTAATTAATGCTCTCTTGTGGTTCTTTAAGATATCACTGTAAAGTCCTTAATTCCCTGGTGTCTCAGGTTTGCAGTCAAAATTGCTTGTAAAAAAAGGCCTATTTTGAGCAAATGTGATGAGGAAACAAATAGATTCAGTGCATTTCTTTGAAGCCTGTTGATAATGCCACATGTACTCTTCGTAATCATTCTAGGGTTCTAGGACACTAGGTGGACAAACAGTGAGCAGAGCTCTTGCAGGACTAAGCCAGAGGAAGTAACCAAACAGGAAGCAGAAATGTGTCATCTGCTTCGAAAGGACACGGAAAAGTTTGAAAACAGGGAAGCCCAGTCTGTCACGATCATCATCCCTCCTCTTAAGGGCGCTCTGACCCTTTCGTATTTTAGTTCATTAGGTGCACCTGTCCCCTGTTTGTCAATCTTTATATAAGCCTGGTGCTCCCGCTATTCCTGGCTCAGCACTGGGAGATGGACGCCCGGAAGCCCGCCTACCAGCGGGTCCAGGAGAGACCCGACAGCATAGGCTTCATCACGGCGTCCTGACCATCTGAGACTGGTGCTCGGAGCACCTGGCATCATTACCCTGGTTTTATTCCCTGTTCTGTTCTGGATCCCATTCTGGATTTTAACCTTGTTTGTCTCATCTCAGATGGATCTCCCGCTTCCTGGATTCTGGACTGCGCCCTGGATTTCCCCCTTGGACTGTTTGGACTTTGTCACGCCCCCTGTCCTTCATCACGTCCTGATCCTCTACATCTCTTCCCTGTTGTCTTTCTGCACTTACTTCTGGATTATACTGTCTGCATAGGGTCCTGAACTACGCTTCACATTCACATTCCAATCTACAAATCCCACCTTGCAGGTGTCGGGGTTGGATGCAGCAGTGTGGAAGGTTTTATTGGCATTGGGGGGAATAAAGAAAAGATAAAAGGAAAAAAGAAAAAAGTGACAGAGAGAGAGAGGAGGAGGAAGAATAGCCAAATGAAAAACTAAACAGTCAAAGAGGGACAGAGAAGGAAATGGAAATAAAATGAAGAAGGAAATAATGAAAGCACTGGGCCGCTCTGGTTGCTGAGCCTGTGTGGCAGGTGGAGAATTGCACAAGTCTGGGAACTCTATCCCTGACCATGACGTAGGCCAAGCTGGCACTTCATCAAGAGGTGCATGACACGAGCGTGAGGAGAGGAGTGCTCATTTGAAGACATGCGAGGGCCTGTGAATGACTAGGAGAGCATCTGAAGGTGGCGCAATGCAAGGAATGAAACAGGCCTCAAGGGACTTCTGCCTCTGTGCCATAAAGTAGGCTTACGAAAAGCCTATTGTTATGCAAGTTTCCTAACAAATCAGCCTTTAACTGTTAGTGTACTGTGTTTGGGCTACCTGAAAAAGAGCTGCTCTTGCAAACTAAGGTCCTTAATACTTGGCAATTAAGGATTCCGAGACCCTGTTTGTAAGAGCAGTTATATTCTGCTGTGGGCTTGCACAATCTGACTTTCACTGAATTTAATAGGCAAAGTAATTTCTCTTCTGTGTAGTGGGGTTGCTGGCACATAACAGATGCTCTGTGTTACCCAGGTGTAACTATAGTGGTAGAGGAAGTGAAGTAACAAGTTCAGTTGTGAAGCGCTTATTAACTATTATTATCTACAAGGTAATTAAAATGTGCAAAATGTGGTTTGTAGTTCCTAACATG